TGTAAAACAATATATCAAGTTTAAGACCTCTTTTGGCAACAGAACCAGAAGTCCAACCGAAACAGCACTGCCATCCATTTGCAAATGCATAGGCAAAGCAAAAAAATGATTGAAAATTATTTTTCCACATAAATCTGTCGTTATACTGTATATATATATATATATATATATATATATATATATATATATATATATATATATATATATATATATATATATATATATATAAAAGAAGAGAGCAGAGGTTTACCTTTGAGAGGGAAACTGACCATAAACACTTCAGTCAAAGTTAAGAATCTTATTAGGATTCTCTGGGAAGACTTGAAAGCATGATGTTCCTAGATGCTTCTGTCCAAGCTGGCTGAACTTTAGCTAATTCCCAACAAAGAAAGCAATCTGCAGAAATATCAGTTTCTATGAGTTCCTTTGAGGAACTATTATTTCTAGAGACATACCCTTATATTTTGAGGAAACAAAGAAAGCATGCATATTTCTTCCCCCTCACAGTTATGCGATGCTTTGTGCTGCTCAGTCAAATAAAATAGTTATAATCAAAGATTTGAGCTGTGACTGGATGCCCTCTGGACTCAGTGCAGATCCTTCCTCCCAGTGCAGATCCTTCCTCCCAGCAGCTCTAAAACTTTATAACTATCACTGTTCCCAATAACCTCAATTAGTTGTTACATTCATGCTGATTTTGCACAGTTTCTGTCTTTGTCGGTTAAATAACATACTGCTGTCATTTTGCACATCTCTGATTTTGCTGCTATTTTCAAATATGACCATAGCTATATATTGATTATTTATTATCCAGGTGCACAGTTTTATATTGTTAAAACTCTTTACAGTACAGTATTTTATTATTTATCTTTTAACTCTTCACTATCATGTTTTTCTTATACATTTTTCTAAGGTCCACATTTATGTGGCAATTTTTTTCTATAATCTTTTTGCTGCCTAAACACAAGAATTTCCCCATTGTGGGACGATAAAGGGATTTTCTATTCTATTCTAATCTATTCTCAATTATTCTCATCTATTCTCATCTATTCTCATCTATTCTATTCTATTCTATTCTATTCTATTCTATTCTATTCTATTCTATTCTATTCTATTCTATGCTATTATAGAGAAATGGGTAAAAACAGCATTGTCTTGAAGAAGTACTATATATTAAATAGTACTCAATTAACTGTTTCATAGTATTTATTAGCAGGATATCTCCAAACTCACTTAATGATTGTTTTATTGTAATGAAGAAAAACTAGCTTAGATATAATGGATGTCTTATAGTTCTGATTACAACAGAGCGGCCAGCAGAGTTTTAACTCTGCATGAGGATTACTGGCTCCAAGGTTCTGAAAATGGTTGACATGTTAAACCGATCTCCCTTCTCTCACCTGAAGCCAACCTGCTTTGGTAAGGTGAAAGATTAGCTTATGAGATTTTATCTACATCACTAGAGTGACACAGTTTGTGCAATAGGTCAGCTTTAATGTGCTGATATCAGACATTTCTACTATATCTATATCCATGTTTAATTAGATACATTTATTTATCTGATTAAATAATTTCATTATTGGGAATCTAATGTATCTATTAGTTAGTCAGATGAAGTCATACGTGTAAACAATTATTAGGAATGCCGTTGGGGACTTTTTCTTGAGGAGTGGGAACTTTTTGCTGAAACAGGTCTTAATAAGATTAGTGGCCTAATCTGGGAGGAGTCAGAAATAGGTTCAGAATGTCCTCAGCGGGTCAAAGGAACACAAAGACCCTGTGGATGGCGGTAAACAAAATCGACAAAATCTCTGCAGCCTCTTCACACTCTGCAGTCCATTTGGTCCTTTTATCTGTTATGGCCTCTTACAGAGGAGCACGCAGAATCCATCACCCCACTTGCATTGTTGACACTCTCTACTCGGAGATAATCTGATGCCAATGAGGCCATGGGATTGAAAGAGCAGAGAGGGAAGGATAACGTCAGAGCTCATGGGAGTGATGTCGGAAATGATGACAGCTGTAGCACTGGATGGTTTTCCTTCTGAACCTGAAGCCACTGGCAGCTCCTTTCAACTTCTACAGGTAAATATTCACAGATATGAGCGGTTTTTGCTGTATTTATCTCCAGATACTGTGAAATGATTCAAATACTTGCAATTATAAGAGTGATTATTTTTTACCAGCTGTTGGAGTCACTTTGATTAGTTAACATTTGATCACTAGAGCTCTACAGTGGCCATCTTTGACTGTAAAGTATTTAATATATATATTTCAAACTGATAACAAAGATGTTCCTTAAAAAAAACGGAGATGGATGACTGTGATCTTAAATCCCAGCACTGCATTTTAGCTATCAGAGTAGCACTGCCAGGTAGCAAACTGAACAGTACGCCTTGTATGTAAGTGGGAACATGTGACAAAGAGTGAAATAAAGTGCATTTGATTGTCCAGGCTCTGCTATGATCATCAGCCCAAGTGAATGTTCACATGGCATTCCATGTAGGATTAGGAGGGGCATCTCTGATGGAATACAGTAAGTATTATTGTGACGTGACTCTGCTTTTTCAAACATATTCTGTTCAAACATAACAGAAAACAGAAAAAGGAGCAGTTGTGTTTAGTGATGCAACATGCAGCCTGCCAGTAATCCCAGTCAATCATTTTTGTTATTCGACTCTAACCACTGATAAAAAGGTAAAACCGATTCTGATGAAATATTGTTTTGTTTATTAAATGCATTAAGACTGAAAACTTGATTGCTTCTGTAAAAAACTTCAAATCCCTCTGAGAATAGGCTTTTTATTCTCCTACAAATTATGTTTTTCTTGCAAATTGGCTCTATATAAATAAACTAAATTGAACTAAATCATTTTTAATCTCTAAATGCATCAAAAACATGCCATTAGTCTGCGGAATGCTGGATAAAATGAAAAAAAAGCTGAATGTTGGAAAAACTGTAAATCATATCTCAGTGTTATGTTTACATTTGATCACCATGTTTACATTTTATCACCGCTGCATTTTAAGAAATGGAAATATCTTGAGAAATGTACAAAACGAAATTTCGTTTTGTATACACCCTGTCTGTTCAAAAATGACAATAAAGTTTGTCTAAGTCTAAGTAAAAAACATATCCTCTGATCTTTGTTTTCAGTTCAGTTAATCACCTGTAGAAAGGTTTGCATTCATGCAGTCATGCAATTCTTTCATATTTTGTACTTTTCTGTGGAATCCTATCAGCTCTATCAATCAACGTGACAGCTGTTGTTTCTTTCCATTGCTTATTTAAAACTTACAGCTTACACAATTGAGTTTCTAATCATAACACCCCTTTAAAAAAGGAAATAGAATTATAATTTTGTCTTTTAAGCTCAAACCAAACCAGAAATCTGTGTCAGCCACTAAAAGCCTGATTGGTGCAACTCTAGCTATTTTTACTGTAATGCCCTGAGGACAAAGTCGCAGGCCCGACGCTAGGATTAGCAAGCCTTCACCACTGATGACCTTAATTATTTAGGCATGATAGAACCACAACTGTTGACCTCAGTGTTTCCAAAAACCCTCTTATCTATGTAAATACAGATCTCTCTGCCATCCAGACAGAACTTTTTAGACAGTGTTCCAAACAGACCTAAATCCTTTTAGATTTTTGTCTAATCTTATAAAATAAAGGACTAGTAAAAAACAAATACAGAAAGTAGCAATATTACTGCATTCCTAAAACTTTTTGTTTTCTGAACATTAGGACTTTAGAACCAAATTTATGTACAGTTTTACTTACTGGGTGTAATATCAGTTTATTTATTCAATGCTGACCAAAGATATGTCCTAAGAGTATTACTACTCATTGCCAAAAAAACAAAAAAAACAAAAACCCATTATTGTTAATTGGAATGTGAAATCACCAACTGTAACTGAATGGAAACACAGACTAAAACAGATTTATATGATGGAAAAAAATACTGCTAAATTACAACTGAAAACTGACCTTTTTTTATTAGAAATGGCACATGGTTAGATATTTAAATTAATAAATTACAGGTTTCATAAAAAAGGAGAATGGAAACCTGCTTTAACTTGTGTGGGTGTTTTTTTCCTTCTATATCTTATATCACAAAATTGTTGTATATTATTGTACCAGGTTTGCTGAAATGTAAAGAATATTCATGTAATGTACAGCAGTATATATGTATAGAATATCTTTATTATTATCACTGTTCTTATTGTTTTTCTTGTCTCAGATAATGTTTTTTTTATTGTTCTGTGCAAAATTTAAATAAGAAGTTTTTAAAAAACAAAACAAAACAAATTTAGCCAGAGAACCGTGCTTCTGAGACATCACTGATTCAAAAGTTTTTGATCTGATGAGCCAGTTTTCACAATAAAATGTTAAGTGTACTTTGACGTTTGCTCTAAAGCTTCTTCTTTTTTCTTTCACCCTGATAGTAAAAGCCCCGAGAGCAAAATACACAATTGTAGGAGAAGCGATACGGTATGTCATCCCAGCACACATGCAGTGCTCCATCGGCTGTGGAGGGGAAGACTGCAAGTATGACAACCCAAACTACTGGAGTGAGGACCAACAGGCAATAAAAGGCCTATATTCATCCTGGTACAATTAAATCTTTTAACTTAAAGGAACATTTCAAAAAGAATTTGTTCCCTTAATGATTTTTTTCCTTCCTATGCTTTTGTTTTACCACTTAAATGCTTCAGATCATGAAACTAGTTCTGATTAAAAAATAACATGGGTAAATAGAAAAAAAATATTTTGAAAATGACTGAAAAAAAAAAATCTAAGACAATTCCATCAAGACCTGTTTACCTGTAAAATCAAGAAATACTTTAAATAGAACCTGTATGACAAGTCATAATAAAGACTTTTATTGTACAAATAATTGTACAAATAGTCTACAGAATGAGGGTAAACCTTCCCATGAAGAGGAAGCCTACCAGATATATCAGCTATATTTTAGGACGGCAAAGCTAAGTTAATCAAAAAGGTCTCAAGAAAACCCAGAACAACATTCCAGATCAGCTTTTTGCTATTAAAAAATAAAGAAATGAAATGAAATAAATAATAAAACAAAAAAAGAATAATAAAAAAGTAAGATCCAAGGTTACAATAAGTTATGATTGAAAATAAGACCACATAGGAATTTGTGGCCACTAAATTTGAACTTTTTTGCACAAAATGCTAATTTGTTCCCACGAAATATTCATTTGTTACACAATATGTTAATTTGTGGCCCATGAAATACTAACTTCTTCCCACAAAATATGAATTTGTTCCCTCAAAATATTTCTTATCACAAAATATCAATTTGTGGCCACAAAATGGCCACAAACAAAATTAGTATTTTGTGTGAACGCTGTATATCTTTTTCTCCCATGTCAGATCTGGGGTTCCATAGAGAATAATCATGTAACAAGACAAACACTTTTTCGCAGCCCTCTGATTATAAAAACATGTTAAATGAATTGGAAATGGTTTCATTTCATATGAACTGTACATATAGTTTCTGACTGTTTCTATCTTTTAGGGTCACAGAAAATCTTCTTGCTATGTCCAGGCCTTCAACAGAGATAATTCAGAAGTATAACATTATTTCCCAGTTTTTAAGGTATTTACAACATTTCTTTATGGCCATCCGCTTAAGAAGCTTTTCAAGGAAGAGTAGAAGAAATGAAACCAATGACATGTTTGCTCTGTTTCTGTGCTTGTGTTGAAGGAATGGCATTAAAACAGTCATCAACCTGCAGTTACCTGGAGAACATGCAAGCTGTGGGAAGCCTCTGGAGCCAGAAAGTGGTTTCTCGTACCGCCCAGAAGCGTTCATGGAAAACAACAGTATGCACCTCAGCAGATGTTTTTAATATGACCTTCATTAATTAACGGTTTTCAGGAAGAGGAGGCAAAAAAATTAAAAGGCCAATGGCCACACCTCCAGTAGACATTTCCTGTAGAAGGAGAGCTTCAAGATAATTTATCATTTGTTTATTAGCTCTGGTTTCTGAACCCATAATGGGGGCAGATAGACACCTTGTGAACTAGTTTAACCATATTTTACCAAAAGATAACTTTTTTATCTCACAATGAGTTGAAATGTGAAATAGAGCCATCTTAAATAATAGTAAATATAATATTAAATAAAACAATAATAAATATTCCCTCTTTGTTAAGGCTTTGTTTTGGGAAAAATATCTATTAATGTCAAAATAGTTGCTGAATGAAAATAAAAGGGAAAGGAAATTTCAAGACTACCCATAGTGGCTTTGAAAACAATTAATTTCCTATTATTACAATCATTCATAGATATTCTGAAAATTCTCAGTAGTCCAGGTCATAATCATTTCAAAAAAGTAAAAAAAAAAAAAACCCACTGGACTGAAGATGTTTTGCCTCCCATCCAGAAAGCTTTCTCAATTCAAAATGTCCGGAGTAATCGGGTATTACAGGCCAACAACAACCTCAACGACTCCCAATTACTAAGGGTTGGACCTGTGTTTTTGGTTCAATTTGCGTGTTTTTTCTAAACCATAACAAGGCCTTTGTTTTGGCCATTCTATAAGCCTGGAACTCAATGCTATTTCTGACATATTGAATTGAAGAATCTTTCTGGATGGAAAGCAAAACAATTTCAAACTTGGAAAACAAAGTCCGGTGAATTGTTTTTTTTATTTTTTTTGGAATCATTTATAGATTTTTGTTTTTGTCTGACCAGTGATGAAAAGTAGAGTCCAGGATCAAAGGTTTAAAATAGTTTTTGCAAATACTTGATTTTTAATCGAGGCTCTCTATAAGCCAAAATTTTTAACCCACAGTTTGTATTCATAACTGTATATTGTTGAAAATGGTGATCAAATGTATGTTGTTATTTCAGTTTATTTCTATAATTTTGGCTGGAGTGACTACGGAGTGGCCAACCTCACCGCCATCCTGGATATGGTGATGGTAATGGCCTTTGCGCTGCAGGAGGGAAAGGTAGCAGTCCACTGCCACGCCGGACTTGGCAGAACAGGTAGAACTCTGATAGAGGAGTTTCATTGTTATCTTTGACCTGCACATCAAGACACTGTGTTAAAGCCTTCCTGGTTTCGTTCTAGGTGTGCTCTTAGCCTGTTTCTTGGCCTACGCTACCAGGATGACTGCAAACCAAGCTATTTTATATGTTCGTGCCAAACGGCCCAACTCCATCCAAACCCGGGGTCAGCTGCGGTGCATCAGAGACTTTGTCCAGTTTCTTGTCCCTTTACGAAGCGTATTCTCCTGCGCCAGGCCTAAGTCCCATCCCATAACACTGTCCCAGTATCTTAACCGCCAGAGACACATTCTGCACGGTAATGAGAGAAAGGAACTGAGGTACCTACCCAAGATTATACATCTAGTCTGCAGGCTCTTGGTGGACATAGCTGAGAACAGGCAGGTGATTGAGGAGGACATCCTTGAAGCCCCTGATATCCAGGAGATTGAAACAACTCTGAGTGTCATTGAGAAGATGGGGCCTGAATTATTTGCAAAGGAGCCCCGGTTACCCGGTTCACCCACCTTACCCAGGCACTTCAATGAGCCTCCCATCTTCTACCACCGCAAAAGTCTGAGCTACAGTGAGTCTGACTTGAGACGCCTGGGATCACAGCTAAACCTTCTCACACAATCTCTGACCACTGTCTCCAAATCAGAGAACACTCTACCGTCATCCCAGAGTCAAGGTCCGAACATCAACATATCTGATGTCTCTTACAGCTCGACAGGCTCTCTCTGGCAAATCAAAAATGAGGAAGGGCAGAAAGATGGCATTATTGTGGTAAAGAAATTAAAAAGGAGAACCATCCAACGCAGCGAGTCAGTGGGGAACAATAAGCCAACTAAAAAGGGTAGCATGTTGTCTAGGTGGAAGGCAGAGAGGAGGGAAGAGCTAGCAATGAATGGGGTAAAGCTTCAAGATCAAGAAAATGAGCAATCAGAGCTTCCGTGCATCACCCTGCAGTCTGAGCTGTCTCTGGAAGCCAGGAGGATGCTGGTGGCCCAGGCACTAGCAGTGGACCTTTTTCTCGATGGGGAGGAGGAGCATAGGACCAAAGTTTTGGCCTGGCAGGTAACCAACTTAGTGAGCTAAGTTAGGTAGTTTTATACAAGTAGAAACTAATCAAAAAACTATTCAACGCTTGAACTTCTTTACATCTTCTCCACTAGTAACCAGTAACTTAAGTTAGCCCATTTCCTTATCGCTTTAGTCTGTATTGGTTTTGCACCTCTAGAAAGACATTTTGGCAAAACAGCACAAGCTCAGATTTGATAGAGAGCATCTGTAAACATTACTTATTACATCTTATCACAGGTTCTCAATTACCGTAGATGTCTGGACTTTGAAATAACCATTCGAATTAATGAATATGCTTCTATTAAACCGTCCTATCGCACCTTTAACTGTATGTTTCTGGCGAGCTGCCTTCACAGTGAAGTGTTTTGCAGTTTCTAACAATTTCTTCTAAGGTTGTCATGTATTTAGCTCCATTCATTTGTGATCAGCTCTCTTTCCCTGCTGCATTAATATCTCTACTGCATGATCCTGTCATCACCATAGAGGTGGTGTATCCTGAGTGGCAGTTTTACTTTAATGCTTTTCATAGCAGGCAGACCAAAAATATGACCAGGAGACATTTATCCAAATATTTACTCATTTAGTTTCTACCTTGTTACTCTTTCATGGGCACCAGATCTATAGTATCTGATTTGTAGGAGCACTGCCATCCTAACTTTAAAATGTTTCCTTGGTTTTCATGATGCTATTGAGTAATTTTCACCAAATAACTTCTGAGACCTTCACCAAGATAATCCCAATCAGGTGATTTCTGAAGGACACTGGATGCACTGGGCTTTATTTAAGTATAGCAGAATTAGGAGGGCAGAAATATACCCATTTCAGGTTTTTAATTTCCTTCACAATAGCTAAAAACACACACATGTGTATATATATCTATATATATATATATATATATATATAATAGAATAAAAAAAGAAATATGAGAAACTAGAGAAAACCAGGGGCTCAGAGAAAAGCTGGAGAAAACCAGGTAGGTGAAGGCATCAGTGGTAACTGTGGTCATTGGGGCCCTCATGGCAGTGACCCCCAAACTTGAAGAGTGGTTACAGCAGATCCCTGGAAATACATCAGACATCTCTGCCAATGTCATGCTAAAATGTCAAAAATACCAGAGGAAAAATATGGAATAGCCTGATCATAAGAAGAGCTTATGGCAATGATGCAAATTAAGATTTTTTTCATTATTTATTAGAATTTGGAACAATTTATTTCAGCATTGTGTCTCATTTAAGGAACTTAATTCCCTGAGAAAATGATAAATTTGCCCATCTTCCTTATCTGTTCTCATTAATAGTAATTCAGTACTCAGAGTAAAAGTGGTGGTGTTTAGATGACCCCTTGCTAATGTCAGGTGATAGGAACAGCAAAGCTACTGCGCAGAACCCTCAAGCTCCCAGGCCTTTGGTAGAGGACCCGAGCTTTGAGGAAAAAAAAAAAGGGAGACCGCCTGCGGTGGGTGAGGAAGAGTTTTTTTTTTTTTAAATATAAGATTAAATGTAAGAAATACATTACAGCAAAGGGGATCTGGCTTGCAATTATTGATGGAATAAATACAGAGTCATACATTTTTAACATTTTATTTATTGAATTACAGCTCTTTGTCTACATTAAATGTAAGCCCCCCCATTTTTTGAGGCAGTTGACAGTAGCTGATGTGAGCTCTGAACTGTGTGCAGGCGGAGCTGAACCAAGGCAGTGCATGGGAGAGGCTGTGCACAGAGAGGGATCCCTTCATCCTGACTGGTATAATGTGGGCATGGCTGGAGCAGCTTAAAGAACCAATCATCTCCATCCAAGATGCCAAAACCCTCAGTCCAGACAATATCGATGCAAACACTGTTCTGAACACTCTGAGCCAGGTCAAACACGGTGGTGAATGAATACAGATCATAATAGAAGAGAATCCGTTTCTAACCTAAACCCTGATGTTTATTTCTTGTCAGGCATCTAAAGAAACAGTAAGATGCATACTCAACTGCATGGCTCACATGATGAAAATATCAGAGGAGGTTGAAGATGCTTTTCTATATAGAGCAATCAAAGCTTTCACCTGGGTAAGAAATTATGAACCCTCTTCATGTTAAAGCAAGTATTTACTGTAAGTGGACTGTTTCTGTAAGTTTTGTGTATTTTTTTTTTTACAGATAAAAATTAATTCAGAGGAGGGGAGCAACCTGTATGAGTCTATGACAAAAGTTCTGAGGTGTGTTCTTCTGGACCTGAGATCCGTTGCTATTGAGGAAGAGGAGGAAAGAGCCAAACCTGCAGTCCATGTGACATGACTAAACCAGTCTGTTATGAAATAGATACTTCTGTGCCTTGGGACGGTCAGATTCTTTTAATCTTCAGTAAAACATCATCATTATTTACATGAACTCTATACTTTTATATGTTGTAATATATTGTAAAAACATCTTTAGCATTAGGTAGAACAAAGCACAAATGTGAATATTTACATTAAAACATTCTGCCTTAAGCCTCGTAACATTCGCCCCTTGCTTTAAGCATGCTTAAAGATCCTTCTCATTCAATTTTATGACCAACATTAACAAATCGCAGGTTGTTTCTTTCCAGTTAACCGTCAACATGTGATTCCACCAAAGAGCAAAAGAGTCGATAATAAAACCATATGACAGAAGGTTGTAAAGCGTGTGTCGGTCTTTTTTTGCCATGCTGTGATTCTCAAGATGTGAAAGAGTAAGCCTTAAGAACATCCTTCCCATTATTTCCTTCTACTGAAGCCACGATGCTGGAGTAGTCACATGCGACGTGAGTGAACCCTCTGAAACAGAGAGACAGGACGTAATAAGTAAAACAAAAAAGGCACATTCAGAGTTTTCCCAATTCTAATTTTTTCACTTAACAGTAAAAAAAGCTTTTCAAACCAACCTGACTCTGAGGGGGAAAAAAAGTATCCTGGTCTTAGATCATTAATTGACTGTGATGTATTAACTTTACAGGAAAGAAATAGCTATGTTTTAGTTAGACTCAAATGATATTAGCTCCTCAGCAAAAGCCTAAATGACTCAGAGAGAAAGAAACACACTGATATGGACATCCCAGGTTATCACTGGTGTTTCCATGAGGCTTCTATGGATAAATCCCAAACACTGACATGGCACAGCTTCCACCAACCTGGACATTGTATGAGAGCCTCCTAGCAAGTGGTACTGACTCTCCAGATCTCCGTCGTTCTTCCATGTCAACACTCGTAAGGAAAGGTCCTGAGATGCTGTCACCACGCGGAAACTGTCCTGCAAAGCCCAAGTTCATATCTCATACTCTAAACTGCCAACAAGTGCCATGGAAATAGAGGTCTGAACCTGAAATAAAAACCACTTACCACACATATTGAGGATATGGGCATAGTATGATCTGTAAAACTAGCAAGCAGGACTCCTTTCAGAGAATACACAAACAGCTGCTTCCCAGCTGCAAGCACTATGCAGTTACTGTTCTTGGCCTCTAGGAGGATTTGGGAGTTGAAGTGGTTCAGGTCCAAGGAGAAGGACTCCACCTGCTGGACTAAAGTTAGAAAGAGATTGAAAATAAATGCTGTATAAGAGGAGAAAGCAGCATATCACTCTGCATACCCTGGATTTCCAAATACATTTGCTTATGTGTGGTCTCAGACATTTTAACTGAAATGACATAAACCTTAATCAAAAGGGATAAACATAATAAGGGCTCATCCTTTGCAGCTCTAACAGATATTCAGGGAACACTTTCCCACGCTTTTTGGAGGAATGTTAACCTTTTATGATGTCAGACTGTTTTAGGAGGAAACAGGCCTAGCTTACTGTTTCTAATCACATCACAAAGACATTTTCTTTAGTCAAGAACTCGGCGAAGAAGGGTCAAGTTTTTCCAATCCACACTCGTTTGTGTATTATGAAAACGAATTTTTGCACAGCTGTACAGTCATTTTTGATCAGGAGGACATCTGACAAAAAGTTGAGAGCATTGTTCTGTTTTCCAAGTATTGGCATTCTAAGCATAAACAATTTCCTGAACTGTGATGGTGCTGAGCTTGAGCCCACATCAGACTCTCAGCACCAAACTTTCCTCTCGACACGGTGCAGTCAGTAAAGCGTTGTCGGTCTAGTAAATGCAAAACCTGAACTCAGTCCTTGGATTGTCTGTCAGGGAGGTGTGAGTCCTAACTCCAGAGGCCAAGTCTCCACAGCGGCGTATTTCACATTACTGCACTCAAGGCTTAGCATGTAAACCTGTTGAGATATAGCTTCAGTAGAGCTGATGGGCCATTTAAAGCCATTCCACTAAGCCTTCCACCTGCTAATCTAAAGGCTACAGGAAGTGTGGATATCTGTAGCTACTGACCCTAAATAAAGTCTGTAAAATCTGCACTGTGCACCTCAGCACTCTCAGACCTTCTTTTGGGATTTTACGCAAACTACCTTCGTGGCTGAGTAGCTATGTTTCCCAAATGCGTCCACTCAGTCATATAACCAGCACAAGTTTTACTTTAAAATATTTAAAATGAGATTTCCCCACTACCTCCATTTCACAGATGACATCCTATCATGATACCAAACTGGAATCTGCTGAGCCCCTGAGACTGACTTATTCCTTCTTAAATGTTTGTTGATCAGGCATCAAGGTGTGTAATTTATAACCCTGTGGGGCTGGAAGGGATTAGAACACCTGAGGTCCTAGTATTTAAATGGAAGAATTGCCCTTATGGCAATACAGTGCATGCTTATTTCAGGTTTTTACAGTTTTAATTAGGGCTGAACATTTTGCCAAAAATCAAAATAGCGATTATTTTCAACCATAATTGTGATTTTATTTTGATTTTCTTTTGCACTAACCCGAAGCATGTAGATGTTTTAGTCCAGGGTTTTGTTTTTTTTATTCCCTTGAAAGCTTGTTAATGATACTTGCATGCATAGTGCATAGATCTGCACGCTAACTGGAAGTTTATTTCCTTTTTCGTGGAAGCAAACCCCATAAGAAATATGGAATAGGAAAAGATTTGTCCCATAGTATTGTGAAATGTAATGTGACCAGAATTAAGCACCTCTCAGATTTGAAAATTGCATTTTCTTAGATTAAATTGCAAATGCAATTTATTGCCCAGCCCTAGTTTTAATACATTAAAAAATAATCCTAGTAAATCAAGAGTTTAAAATGTTAAAGAAAAGCAATAATTAACGCACTAAATCAGATAATCAAGCCAAAAAAACTCCTTAGTTTTTTTGGCTTTTTTTTAGGGTCGTGCACAGTACGCCCCATGTTATTTCAAAATTATGGAGATAGTGATATATATTTTTCTAGGAACAACACATCATCTGGTATGGGTGGCCAACGAGTGTCCCCTCCTTCTAGCTCCGCTCATTTTGGGGAACCTAGGGCATTCCAGCACCTCAGTTATCCCAGACTAACATGAAAATGGGTTTTAGATTGCATACAACAGGCTAAATGTTGATTTCTGGAAACTGGAAAACTTATGGGATGCAATTAAAAGCCAGATCCCTGCCAGGAAAGCTAAGGAGCTCCACCAGTGCCAATATGAAGTGTGAATAAATATCCAAATACTCTGTTTGCTGATAAAAAGCACATGTGATAAGTGACACCTGCTAAGCTAAATGTTTTCCAAAGATTATAAAATAATTCTCTATGCAATCCATTCTATATGTTCATTTTCTACACTGTGTGGATTAAACAAAAATATTTACAAAATAATAAAAAAAAAAAATATCCTTTTTTTTGTTCAGTTGTTCCACTGTTATATAAAGCAAGATATTTATGCTGATGACGAGGAGTAGGTAATCTCCTCACTGGCACTGCACGTTGTTATTATTAAATCCGCTGAATGTGTAATAAAAATCTCCTGCATACCTTGAGAGTAAGCTAAATAAAGTACTAGTGCCAGGAACATTTCCAAACAGACATTTCTCCTGGATGACTCACCAACTGACTTTTAGTTTCCCAATGATTTGTGTACAGAGCTAAAGCATTTTGGTCCTACATATCAGGCCTCACCTTGGATCTCCGTCTTGTACTTCATCTTTTTTATGCTGACATCGAAGACAGTGAGAGCTTTGTTGCCTCTAAGCTCAGTGTGGTGGATGATGGCCAGTCTGGCTGGCTGGGTGGGTATGAAGACAGCAGCTTGGCAGCCACGGACTGGCACAGTCTGGCACAGTGGATCGTCGTCTTCAGACGGTGAGGTCAAACTTTCACTGTAAATCACCTGCCAAAACAAAAAAGTAAGGTTTAGTGTATAAAGAATGTATCAATACTTCCAAGCAATATTCCTTTAGGCATTATTGGCACGGAGATATTGCTGTAACAGACTGCAGGAAAAAAGCACACACAGAGGTATTCAGTGAGAGACAACCACAAATACCTTTAGGCTTAAATCGACATTTTCTGTGGTTCCAGCTACAATCCACTTCTTATCAGGTGAAACTAGGAGTACGTCAGCTCTAAAAGGGTCACACACCATTAGACTTGACTTTTTAGTTAAAGTCAAATCAGCCAGAGTGCAAATCGACCCCCCGCGGGTTCCAACCTGGAAAATAAGATAAGGTTAGACAAGAGGAAAAAAAAACACAAGAGGCCTTCAGGAGGTTTTTGGGCTACTCACAATCAGGAACCAATCATTGTTGATATTGAACTGCAGTAGTTTGCAGTGTGAAGACTCTGTAGAGAAAGAGGCCAGCTCCTGGCCAGTCTGGCCCTGCCAGCTCTTAATGAGGCCAGTAGAGTCCGAAGTGATAATAACTTCCTTCTTCTCATCCGCTATAATCCCTGTTAAAGGGTTCTGCACAGGACTACACCACAATTTCTCACCCTGAGAAACATAAACACACCTGTTTATACCCAAATATGAAATATCAACAGCCACTTTTAAATATGGAGCAACATATAGGGCAAAAAATTGTTTTCCAAACAGCTAATTCAAAGCATACCTACAGAAAACTAATTTAAATGAAAATCCTACCAAACACCCTATCCCCTTTTGCTATAAAGAATGTTTATTATAGTATTTAAATTGTTTTTTTCTATTATCAATAATCCCAAGCAGTAGAAATGGATGACATAAATGCATCAATAAACAAAGTTAATTTTAGAAACATTCAAATTCTAAAAACATCTTCAAATGTCACTTTTATTACAGCTATCAGGCAAAGATCATGACGGATCAAGTCCATAACACCTCTAAATGGGTGGGACATGTAAGGCAGCTAGCAACGTTTTTCTATCTTTAACAGGAGTTGGCCAACTCTATCAGTCCCCAAAAGCTACCATCCTG